ATTGCTCAGTTCAAAGGCCATGGCAACCAATCAATCTGCTAGCACAAAAGCTGGTATTTCAAATGCATATCGGTATGATTTGATTTACTAACAAAGAAACAGAGCGAGTCAGAAGGGGTCTCTGGGCCATCTAGTCTGACCCCCGGCTCTGGCCGGCTCCACTCATGACATGCCTACCATGTGCATGTCTAGCCTATCCTTGAATATAGCAAAACCATTTTAATTCAACCTGACCTCAGTCTCAAAAAAGCTGCTGTAGATGCTACATAAGCATGAGTGACACCTGAAAGAAAACGGTACAACTTTTCACAAGAGCAGTAAAACTTAAAAAAACATTATCCAGGAGCTATAAACAGCAGACAATTTAGAACACAGTACCCTGAATCTTCCACTTGGTTTTGTAAGGATGAGATCAAGGGGATGAGAGTTGAGTTCCCTGGAAGGAAAAAAGTGGAATATAAATATAATAAATAAATAAAAGCAGACCATTTTGGTTATTTGCTGCTGTGAGATAATATGAAGTACAAATTTTATATGATGGCCTACCTAAACAGCTGATTATTATATTTCTAGGTTATCTCATGCTCCGCTCCACCACTCCTCCCTTCACTCCAAAGATTTGTTATATTGATATTTTGATCACGTGTATTGATTTATTTGATTAATGACAGATGTTGATGAAGTGAACAATCTTTGATCTGTTGAAAAGCCTTTTTTGAACATTATCCCCAGCTGATCGCTAAAATTGCCTGGAAAGATAATAAGATTTATTTACAGCTCTGATCTTATCCATACCTGCAGGATAAATGACAAAATGAACAATAGTCCAAAAGGTTACTTTAGTTCTTGCTTACATAATGTAGTGAATGACTTGCACTATTTCTGAAATGTTAGATCTTGTACTTTAATCTACAGTCCATGTTAGGGGGTCTCTCCTATGTAATTTGAAGACAAAACTCTTAGGGTCCCTGGTCCCCAGAAATGGAGCAACACAATCTCTCAACATTGCTGGTATTAATAAGACTACTTGGGAATACAGATTTGGGGTAAAGGTCTTGTGTATGGAGGGGAAGGGGGGAAATTTTGGCAACTTTTCATTCTGCCCCTAAACTTAAAGAAGAGTTGTGCAGGCACTGTGGAATCAGTATTTACTCCAAACTTACTCTTTGCAAACTACCTGAATGGATCTCCGTATGCATTCCATCTGGTCTTCTTTTCAAATCTTAGAGACACCAAAGGGCACAGACAATACTTCTTCTAGCGCTAGAACAATGGTTGCGACTTATTTTCTTCACAATTTCAATTTTCACTGAAGTTAAAGCACACACACACAATCACAGACCAAATTTTGAGATGATGATGGCTGCAAGGAATGTCTTGGCCAAAGCTCTCCTACACATTTTGACAACTATTTGCTGGGAAGAAGTCCAAGAGCTTTTCTCTGGCACAGAGAAAGCAGACGTGGAAAGCTGAAGGCATTGCTCTTTGCCCCACAGCTGGTTAGTTTTGGGAAAGGTCCCCACTGCAGCCGATCATTTCCTACAGATCCTGAATTCGTTCTATGGGGCTGGAGAACCCACAGTCCTCTCCTAAGACCAAGCATGGCTCTTGAGGATTTTGGCGGTCCTTCTGAGAGATTCTAGCTGAGTGGGCTGCCCTGTCCAGAGCCAAAGAATGAAAAAATGCAGGGCAGGGCCAGTAAAATGACTTTAAGGGGAGAAAAGGCAGTAGGCCAAAAAACCTCTCAGCGAAGTGATGACAGGATGGGAAAAGGAGGGTGGAAGAAAAAGTGGAGCAGAGGAGAGTGAGGAGGCCAGCGTGGCGATTGGGCCACAAGCAAACACCCAGCAGGCTGGGTGCCAAGGAAGTGCAGAAGCCCAGTGTTTGCACATGGTTTTGAAAGAACCCTTCTGTTTTTTAGCTCTGGTTCTCCAGTTACTTGCAACATTCTAGGCCGAAGCCGAGTGCAGCCAAAGTCAACGGTGGGGCGGATCCGAAGCCCTCTTCTGCAGCTGTTCTATTCCTGTGAGCCTCTTGCGGACCTCTTCTGCCCCAGTAAAACAAACTGCAGCTCATTTCCCGTCAACAGCTTCAGCCAACGAGCCCAACATACTCCTGAAAAAGAAGAGGAAGAAAAAGAAAGCAGAGCAGTAGCAGGAGGAAAAGAGGTTCCCTTTTTGTGACTTTTCCTTTTATCTTCCTTTTATTTTGCCTAAGCATAAGAACCTACAGTTTGATGTGATGAAATCAGATGCCAGGCCATCCGAAAAGATAGCCTGTCTTCTCTCAGCTTGCCTTAAGTGATTCCAAAGGTTAACCCAGGGGTCTCAAACTCAACTTACCTGGGGGACGCTGGAAGCAGAGTCTGGGTGAGGCTGGGCCGCATCACGAATTCACCGTGGTGGTGGTGGGCCGCTCATCCCCGGCGCTTTGAAGGCCGCAGGCCCCCCCCCCCCATGCCCCGCCTGTCCCGGTGCTCAGCTTAGAGGGAACATTGCACCCAGGGTAACGACTCACACAGGTGCGTGTGAGAAAAACGCACGATCACTAAACTTTGATATCAAGTGGGGGCCACAAAATATCGTTCCACTGGCCGCAATTGGCCCGTGGGCTGCGAGTCTGAGACCCCTGGGTTAGCCAAACTGTGCACTAGGATGAGGTTTGTCTGTGTCTGTTCATCCCTGCTGCCCCGCTGAGTAAATGCATAGGAATTCTGAGAGCATCATGTGAAAGATGACCATGCTAAGTGGAGGATGACTTGACACACGTTCTCACAAAGGTTTCCAAAGAGTTCAGGGGATTTCCTTTGTTCTTTGATAGGCAATGTGTTGGCGTTTGCTGAAATAAAGGAAAGACCCTTTGGAAGTGCGTGTTTTTCAATGTGCAAAGTCACAGGAGCAGTTAAAAATGTTGCAGCAGGCTCCCGTATGCCTCCAGAGTGTGGATTCCTTTGTAAAAAGAAAAAAATGATGTCATGAGAATGAAAACAACAAGAATAATGGATGGCTTTGAACACCTTATCAGCCACATGGAATTTAGTGGGAATTTGGCAGTGAGGCATCTTTGTGGGCTGGTATGGAAAACCTGCAAGGAAGAACGGCAGCTTATGTGAGAGCAAAATCCCCTTCACAGCACAGGCCTAAAAATTTCCAGCTCTTAATATCTGGTAACCCTAAGAATGGTCAAATCATGTTCTGGGCATGCCGACCAGTAGTGGTCTGAGCCATTCCTTTGTTGCTTTTTTGATTCTCCTTAGGAAGATGTCAAGGTTTGGTTTGTTTTTTTAATGAATGAGCATTAGAGACTCCTGGTTTAACTTTTTACCAGCACGCTAGACCTCAGGCTGTGGTTGAAGGGAGGGAGGAATGGATTGTAACAACTTTTGCAGTCTGGCTTCCCCTCATGCAACTAGGGTATTTTAGACTGCATTTAATGGGGGAGGGCAGCAAGCTTTTCGAAGGTGGCATTATGAATTAATTACTTCAAAGTGAGGTGAGCCAGCCCTGCACATCTGTCCTGGTCATCCCCTAAAGATACCACTGTCCAGTTCCCTCACAACCTTTCACAGTCTGGAATTCAGAACACACCTAGAAAGCGTTCTGGGATGCAGGTAGCAACCGAGTCTGGGGTCCCACCTCCCTTTCATAACCCATCTTAAATTTAGACAGCCTTAACCAAATAGGCATTAATTTTAGCTGATGCATGCATCCATCATTTGGGCAATGTAGCAATTTGTGACACAATAGGAATGCATGAGTGTAATTAAAAGTGCTGCTGTAAACAATTTGCCTTAATAAATGGAAGACGGCCAAAGGCATGCTTAGATTTTTAAAATGCCGTTCCTCTGCAGTAACTTGTTATACAACTTTTCTGTCTTTCAGTTTTTTTCTTCCTTCTTCAGCCATCCAGGCCACATCCTCAAGAGTTGAGAGTACACATTTCAACAGTAATAAATCTTAATGAAGTAGACATATCAAAGGGATTTCTGGATAACATCTGCTTAACTTCTTTCTCAGATCCCACAAATACCAAAAGTCAGGCCGTTAAGCTACATGGCAAAAAGTGTTTTAGGCATGGTGAAATGTGTTATTTGAGGACGCAGAAGCAATTTTCCCCAGTGGCTGCTCTTGGGAAAAATTACAGCAAAAGGGCACAACACTGAAAAATCAAAGAGCAAATAGCAAAGGGTTCTTCAGCATTAGCTAGAGCAGCTTTCCCCAACCTGCCACCCTCTGGATGTGCTTAACTGTAACTCCCAGCATCTACGGTCAGCATGGGCCCTCATCACCACAAGTGAAGGGAAGCGGTCACATTTTGGGGAAGGTTGCTAGTTTAGGACACAATCTGCACAAAGTCCAATAGGAACAGGAAGGCTTATTATTCCCAGCATGCTCAACTGGCTGGGGCATGCTGAGAGTTGCAGGACTTTCCCCCTGTGTGACCTTGCATAGGATTGCACCTTTATATTTCTCCATTAGAAAATGTTGTGTTAGCCAAACTATGGCCCCTTTCTATTGAACTTCCATGTCCAGAGGCATTATACCCTGCCAAGAAGCCGTGGCAACAGGAACCTATTCCCGTCATGTTCTGTTTCCCAGAGGTCTTTGACTGTCCACTGTTGGAAGCAGAATACTAGATAAGGCAGTCTCGTGGTCAAGCCAGAGGGGGGTTGTTTTACATTCTGAAATATGTAGAAGTACATGTAGCTTTTCATAGATACTTCAAAGAAGGGGAGAGGGCATACCTCCTAAATCCCCATGTCAAAAACGGCTGGTTTTAGCCAAGCAACACACCCCTCCTCGCAGAATGGTTTCTTCCAAGAGCAGCCTGTTCTCCCGCGACGGGTCCATCGTACTGTTAGTGAGGGGGAAAGGCGGGAAAAGAGCGAGGGAGCGTTTGTGCCGCCAGCACCACGAAGCCCCACCGGAAGAGGCGTGGTCTCGCGCGGCCCGCCAGGCCACGCCCCCTCTATATAAACCTCCCCTCGGCGGCCATTTTATTTCATTCGCTCTTGTTCGCGGAGGAAGGAGGTGTGGGGTAGTTCGGACCGCGCTTTTTCGATTTTCATTTTCAACTCCTTGTTCAGAGCCGATCTGAAGGGCGGCTCCGTAGATGGCCAGCTTTCCCCCGGGTGTAAACGAGAAGCTCATTGGTGAGAGATCCCTCGCTTTTATAAAATCGATTGTGAGCGTTAACAGCGGGGTCAGTATTACTGGCAGCAAAGGGTGGGGTTGCGAGAGAGGAATTATGTATGTGGCTTATCGGAAGGTGCGTGTTTGGGGAGGGATACTGCAGCCCGCATGTATGTATGCACGGAAGGAATGCTTTAACGCTTGCTTTGGCACAAGTGTCTGTAAGATTGCAGTGGGGAGAGTAGAAAAAGCAAAACATGAATGTATTTGCTCCCTAGGTGTACTGATCTGTAAGTAAAGTTCTGATTTTCCGCATTTGGAACACGGGTTCCAAATGATACTGCATTCATCTGGTGCCCTTTTTGCCCATGTTGCTCTCGTTGGTTTGTAGGATTTCTCCTGGGCGTGAACTACTACAACCCAGTATGGGGAGAATGGAGGCAGAGAAATGAGGGAGGCTTTGGTGCCAAGGGGGTTGGGCTTGAGGGTTGCTTAGAGCCGTGTGATATTAATAGATGCGCGCACATATGGTTTTAGAGGAGACTGGATTGTGGGGAAGCGTTCCAGGTTCCAGGGCAGTGCAGAAATTATAGGAGGAGATGATAAGCTGGGCGCTTAATCTAACCTAGGCACTCATGGCCCATTTGAGTTGTAGTTGTTCTCATGTTGTTGCTCCATGAGCGTTGGTCTAGGAACGTGGGGCAGGAGACAGTTGGAGTTGTGAGCAGCTGAAACACCTGGTTTTTCGGGAAGAGAGTGTGAATCCGACAGGGTGCAGCTGGGTTGCATGGAGAAGGGAAATTATTGATGTTTTGAGCATCCTGAGAAAGCTGTTCCGGGAGCATGTGCATCTGCTAGAAAGCAAGCAGAGTTCTTGCAAAAAGCAAGGGGGGAAAAAGCAGTGGAATGGTTTTAGGAGCGGCTGCAAGGATGTCCGTGAAAAGCAGTGTGTGTATTGGTGTGGCCCCTGGTGTGAGCTGCTGTTGTGGACATTTGTTGGTGTGTGAAAATGGAACTTCCTGGAAGGTCACAGAAGTAAACAGAGCCAGGGATGAAAATGTTGGACTGTGACCTGGCCCAGGAAACACATGGAGTAACTTAAGGCCAGGCACTGATTCTTGGTCTAACCAACCTTGCAGGGTAGTTGTGAGGATAAAATGAGGAGGGCTCTGGAAGCTACCTTCGGTTTCTTGGAAGAGGAAAGAAGGCAGATTATGAATGTAATAAAAGTTAATCATCCTGGGTGTTGTGCAAGAGAGGCAGAAGTGTGTGTGAGGGAGGCTGGCCATGTGAGAAAGATAGTGTGAGTACGTGGGTCCGTTGTAAATAAAGAACAAGGTATAAAATGGCCACATCAGCTCAGGAATAGCCTTTTAGGAAACCATATTCTTGGTTATTAAGAGGTTGGAGACATCTGAGAGACATTTCAAGCTATCTGGATACCTGATACAGCAGCCCATGTTGTCTGGGGATGGTTGGGTTTGTCTTTCAACTCATTTAGCATCAGAATAAGGGAAGACTGCTGAGAATTTACTGTAGAATGAATTCCTTCAGCCATGCAATTCTGGGCCTGTTCGGACAGAAAGTCCTACAAGCTTTTCTGGGACATGGGTCTGTCTCTAAACAGACACAATATTGCAATGTTAAATGTTTTAAGTGGTGCTGCAGGTTGTGAAATTGTTTTTAAAAGCAAATAAAAGGATACAGTGAAGATATATTTCCTCTTTGTTACTAAAATGGCACTTTTATTGCTTACTGTAACCTTGCTGCTCCTTTTAGATTCTGAAATTGTAACTGCACTCTCCATTAGCACAATTCAAGGGAGTTTTCCCTTCATGGGTTCGGAGAAGCAACCAAGGATTGCTCTGCTCTATCCCACTGTTATACTGGTGGCACCTCCTGGAAAATTTGGGGTTCCCCCACCCATACATATGTAGAATTGGGACCCTCTCCATATTTTTAAAATCTGGGACTCCTGGAGTAGCATGGATGAATTGTGTTGCCTACAGACCTGCAAACGTGTCAAGCTATGCCATAATAAATTAAGTAGCCTCTGATCTGCTTCGGCTCTTTGTTTGCTGAGGCCGAGTGGCATGACTGTGAATAAGTTGTAAAAGGCGGCATTAGCTAACCTCTTGGTGGTGAATTTTCCCTTGTCCTTTTTCCTTCTGCTGCACAGAAGCAGCTCTCATCACATTTCAACACACCCCTCCCTCCTTCCTAAACCCAGAGGTGTTTACTCGAGCCTTCTTGGCAGAAATGCACTTTGACGCCTGTCATCGCAAGCAACGTGGCTCTTTTGTTGGCACAGGTTTGCAAATTAGTTGAAAATTGCTGCGTGCAGCTGAACCATGCTGCACCCGGAAGCAAAATGCTTTCCCCTTCAGCTGTTTGGGTCCGTCTAGAAATCTTTTCCTAAGTGGATGTGGAAATCAAGACACTCCTGCGGAAAAAGCATGGTTCTAAAATGCACTAAATTTTTGGAATTGTGAGTCACATCATAAGGGGATGGGCCTTAATTTGGGGGTCGCTTCCTTCCCTTTTCTGTGGATGGGTGGCACACAGCTCCCAGTATGAGTTCTGACTTGCTCATGTTCACAGAGTCTTCCTCTTTTTACCATATGAATGCAGAACTCATAGGAGGAAGTAAAGAACTGAATATCTTGTGTGTAGAAGAGGCATGGGATACCACACAGTTCTCTGCATTGCCAAATTATTCCTATCCAGGGAAAACCACTTGGTAGTGCTAGAAAAAGAGGATATTCATTTGGGTCTTTGTAGAGAAATCTGATTTTGTTGTTACCTTCCTTTTTTAGCACTGTGATGCGCAGTGGAAGTAGAGGTAGTTGCTTATTCTTAGTCCATCAAGCAGTGAATGAAATGCTGTGCCCCAGTCAATAGAATCAAAAATGGATTAAAAAAAATAAAATCCAATCCCATCAGCTCAGAAGAGAGCCTCACTGAATTCCACTGGCTTTACTCCTAGAGTAGGTTTGTAGCAGTGCAGCCTAGATACGTGTGTTTTGGACGGCAGCCAGTGCTGTGGGCAAATAAACCTCTGAGCAACCACATAAGGGTGAAATTCCCAGTGTGTTGAAAACTTTCAGTCTCTAAAAATGCATTTTTAAAAAGATTAATGCAAAGAATGAATGAGGGGGATTATCCTGCAAGGAAACCCAAAGGTGGCTTACCTAGTCCTTCTCTTCCTCTCCATTCTGTCCTCACAACAACCTTGCAAGGTAGATGAGGCTGAGAATCAGCGAATGGCCCAAAGCCACCAGGCAGATTCAGGGCTGAGTGGGGATTAAAATCTGCCTTCTCCCCAGTCCCAGGCTGGCGTTCTAACCACTAGTCTACACTGACTTTTTGCCACATTGCTCCCAGTCATGCTCAATCATGGTTTTTTCTTGTTTAACGGGTTATATATAAGCTACACTGGGAGTGTTTTTAGGGGAGGAGTACAAACTGTCACTCGGCGGTGTAAGTTTTGTAAAGCCGGTTTATATAATTGCCACGATTATTTGTAGGTAGCTCATTCACAGAAATAGGTCTGGCTGTAAGTGGGGTGGGTAAACAAGGACAAGTTCAAACCAGACATGCCAATCCGTGTCCAGTGAGGAGCAAGTCCTGATCTAGGTAGGATTGGGAATTTTAATGTCAGCCCTGCTACAGCAAACAATCTAGGAAGTATCACGGAAAGTGTGTGTGTGTGTAAGAGAGAGAGAAGCAGCAAGAAAACTGGGCTATAGAGAGGCTAAAGCTGTGAAAGAGTAGGGCATTTTAATGCCAGTAGACAAAAGGGGGGTGAAGAGTGGATCCTTTTAATCTTGCTTTCCTGCAGTTTATTAGAGGATCCAGGAGTCCTGTGTAATGTTTGAAAATACTCCTCCTCCCTTTTTATATATATATATTTGAAGGGCTGCTTTCATGCATATCCCCTTGCTCAGACTCTTTAAGATATATGTCAAGGCTCCTTCTCAAACATTAAGCTCTGTTGATTGGCATGTACAAGAAACGGGGCCTTTTTAGCAGTGGTCCCAAGAGTGAGGCACTATCTCTATATTGACGGTGCCTTGTCCATACAAGTGTTTAGGCAAGCAGTAACAAGCTTTTCCTTAACACTGTTGTCAGTGGAATTATTATTTGGCTAATGTGCTCAGAGTAGCTTTTCAAAGTATTCTGCATGCTTATTACTGCATGTTGCAGTGTATACCATTGTATACCATTTTGTGCAAGCATGGCCCTGAAAAAAACTCCTGAATAATTGAAAATAATAGATGAGCAGTGTGGGTTGCTTTGGAGAAAGACTCTGCAGCTTTAATTCTCCTTTTGCTACTTGCAAAACATGGAGCATATGAGACAACATGCAATTGTTTGTCAAAAGTAACACTTTAATTTTTTAGCCCTCGCTCAAGACTATGAACAAGGTGGCTTGCACATACAACATTACACACGTCCAATTTAAAATTGGCAAACCAACAAGACCAGCAAGAAGTCTGCCCTATAAAGCAGTGTTTCTCAAACTGGGTCAGTTCTCATAATGAGGAGCTGCCTTTCCTCCTCTTGGGATTTTTTAAAACAAGACCTGCAACTCACTCTTCTAGTTGAGCAGGTCACTTAAACAGGTGGGACCCCTTTCACCCCATGGCTTGCTTAAATTCTGTCTCGCTGCACCTGACTTAAATGTACAGAACTCTGTTAACATTAAAAAGGAGCACTAAAATGAGTTGGTCGGTGTTCTGCAGAGCTCAGGAAAAAGGTAGAGTCGATTTTCACATGGGCCCCATTTCTAGCTTTGCTGTAAAGCATGTCTTCATACCTAGACTGACTGATTCACACACCCGAATTCCATCCCTCTCGTTTTAGGACGATCACGGACAGTGGGAGAACTTTTAGCCCCAGCGGCTCCTTTTGACAAGAAGTGTGGGCGGGAAAACTGGACCGTTGCCTTTGCTCCGGATGGGTCCTACTTTGCCTGGTCACAAGGCCATCGCATAGTCAAGCTTATTCCCTGGTCTCAATGCTTGAGTAACTTGTGAGTATAGCCTGCTTTGGGAAACGCCATTCCTTACAAGGAGCTCTGAAGGGAAGGGCTACAGATGGGGGCAGGTTTGCACGTCTGAATGCCTTTAGGACAGGGAGAAGCCTTGTCTGAAAGGGGTGGTTGTGTGGTCATCTCTGGGCTGGAGGGACGAAGGGTCCGATCAGGGTCCGATCGGGTCTTAAGTGTGAGAAGAAGTGTGGAGTAATGTTGCCTGGGGCTCAGGCAGCATTCTAGTCCCTACTGATCCACAAACTCCACCCAAAGGCTATGCACATAGCCTCGGTTCTTTGCAGGACAAAAGAGCAAGATAGAAATATTTAAGAAGAACGTGTTTTGAGCACAAATGTGTGGAAACTGATGTTTCATACATGGAGTAGCTACAAGCCTGAGAGCAAGAAGTGGGCTGCTTCAAAAGGATGCTAGAAAAAGTGTGAATCAGGAAAAGAAGTTTTTTACCACATCTGAGAAGGCTGCAATGTACTGTGTAAATGCATGTGCCTTTTCTGGATGTTTTTCCTTCTTAAAATGGTGACTGTGTTTTTCTAGTACCTTGCATGGCATAAAGAACTTTGCCAACTTAAGCCATTCCAAGCTTTCGAGGCAGAACAGCGATGGCGACCAGAAAAGCAAGCCCCGGGAACATGTTATAGATTGTGGCGACATCGTCTGGAGTCTCGCTTTTGGATCATCTGTGCCTGAAAAGCAGAGTCGTTGTGTGAATATAGAATGGCACCGTTTCAAGTTTGGCCAAGACCAGCTTCTGCTGGCAACTGGCTTATCCAACGGGCGTATCAAAATATGGGATGCCTATACAGGTAAGGAGGAGCATGATGCAATTGAATTCCCTTCGCATTCCTTTTAAGGCAGGAATTGTGGTCTGTAGTCTTTCAGAAGTTGTAAGTGGACAGGTGTTTTCATGGCCTGACCACTTGCTGGGCTGAGGATGTTGGAATGCGGCAACTCCTGGAAAGCAATTTGTTTCCCACTCCCATTCCAGAAAAGGTGAAACGGAGCTAGCATGGCTGAGGTTGGAGACAGAAAGCTCAGCTGGAATTCCATCTTGATGCTGGAGAGAATTGTGGGGCCCTTTGTGCTGATTTCCAGGATGATGGAGGAGGAAGCTGTGAAGCTTCGAGACCTTTGCCTTTATGCCTCCGTATGGACATCATCCAAAGCGCTTCATCTAGCCATGTTTTGAAAAGACCGTGCGAACCCCCCAAAGCCTGGTTTTAAACCTTGCTTTAGATTGCATTGATCCCTGAAGGAAGATCTCTTAAGGTGTGACTCGCACACATGTAACATTTTGGCTCGGGTGAAAAGCAGCGGTTGGCGCCGCAGAACTGAAGCAGCCGCAGCGTTGCACAGAGTAATCTTTAAATATCAAGCGACCTGCCGAGTATCTTGAATTTCAAAGTAAACTTCAGTACTGTTTGGAAGATAAGCTTTCTTGGCACCTCATCCTAAAGCTTATCCTATTGATAAAGCAAGCATACTGACTAAAGAACTTAATTTCTTTAAGTCAATTTACTTAGGAAGACTAAGTGTTGCTCCTCTTGAGGGTCCTAGAGAACAAAAACTCCAAGAAGGAGGCTGGGCAGATACAGGGTAGAGAAGTGGAAATTAAAAGGCAGTCTGATGGCTGCATCCAAATATTTGAGGATTTCTGGTTGGTGACAAGCAAATTTGCTGCTTCTTGCTCCAGGGAAGACTTCCCCATCAGGGTACCTGCCAGCTACCTGGTTCGAAGCTTTTAAGCAAAAGCTTGGATGGTTTTCTAGAGGTGGCTTAGGTGTGGATTGCCTGCATTGACAAGGGGTCCCGCCAAATGATTTCTCTTCTAGTGATGGTTCTCCAGCTTGCTGGATGAGTTTTTACCTCCAGAATGGAGACACTTGGGGAAGCTTACGCGTGACACCTCTGTGTGTTAATAGGATGAAAATAAAAAAGGTACCCCATTAGATGTACAGAGGGTTACCTAACATTAAGTTTGTGGCTGTGAAAGAGTTTAGGCCCCATCTAAAGTAATCAGTTGCACTGCAAGAGTTGTTGGTTTATTTATTAAATTTGTTTAAAGGCTGCGCATTAGCATCACGTTCTCTGGGCAGCCATTACAATAAAATTACCAATAGGTAATATAAATAAAATAATATAATTAAAATGCAGAAGGTGAAATAACAAATACGAAACAAGAATATAACTTAGGTTTGTAAATTAAAACCAGCACAAATTGATGGAAAAATAATCCAAGTGGTGCCAAATATGAAATAACTGAAAACAATATAGAAGGAATGGAAATTGTCACATTACCTTTGGATTCTGATTTACACAGGATCACCTGCTGCTGCTTTTCTGGGGCTTCCACTCCATCCCCCTGAAAATGCTGGAAAATGCCAACTCCCTGAATATGGATTCAGGAATCTCAAATGGAGTGAGCTGTAATCAGTGGAGGGAAGGGGGAAGCCCCCTGCCCCCCAGGATTGGTCAGAGGGTTCCCTTTCTCTCACAGAAAGTAGATCTTGGAATCCAATACTTAGCAGTTCAAGTGGGTGTTGCATTGTTCTGCACTGTGTATCAAATATCAAACATGAAAAATTCTTTTCTAAACCTGACTTTGAGACTTTTAAAATCTGTTCTTCCAACAGGAAAACTCCTCCTTAACTTAATGGACCATACTGAAGTTGTGAGAGACTTAACTTTTGCACCTGATGGAAGCTTGGTGCTGGTATCTGCCTCAAGAGACAAAACACTCAGAGTTTGGGACTTAAAAGATGATGGTAAGTCATTGGGAATACGCCGCATCAAGTACCAAAACATTCATGCCACTTGTTCCACCCTGGGAAGCTACGATAACAAGAGTGAATGCTATCTTGTGTTTGTTTTTGGCATTTTGAATTACTTCCTTTATTCTGTATAGTGAGTTGGAGATAGCTCAGTGGGCTGCTTTTCTATTGATGGCTTTTTTGGACTGTCCTAGCAGACACAGACAGACGTGTGTGGCAGAGAAATGGTTCCTTTTGTAGAGTTAATCAGTAAACTCGAAATGAACTTGGCTTGAAAAGGAGACCTGCGCTCCTTTGGGCTGCACTGGTTCAGCAGTGGTCACTCCCCTCCTGAGAGTTTCGTTAACAAAAGGCAACATGCCTCTGCCTAATTAACTCCGCTGTAACGAAGGTGCCTTGCAGTGCAGGAGAACCACCAGTTGGTTCTGGTGCCTGTACCTCTTCCTAGATTTCCCTGGGAATCTTCTCTTAGATCACGTGAGCTTGGATCATGCATAACCATCTGGGTCTGATGAACCGTAGTTTACCAGGCTGTTAAATCACAGTTTCCTGATATGGCCAAACCTCTACTCTAAACCAGGATTGCAAGTTGCAATTTGCTTCTGCCTGGTTTGCAAACTAGGATTGTCGTTGGGGTTAAATCCATTGGAATATAACGAGAAGGAGCTGCGGCACCTCTTATCTAGAAAGATAGATGGCTGATGCTAATCCAGCATCTTCTTTCCCCCTTTTCCAGGAAATATGATGAAAGTTTTAAGGGGGCACCCAAACTGGGTGTACAGCTCTGCTTTTTCTCCAGATTCTTCCATCCTCTGCTCCGTGGGGGCCAATAAAGCGGTAGGTATCAATGTTTCATGATCTTCAGCTTGCATTGGATTGTGAGCCAAAATAATCATAATTTGCAATCGTGAAAGAAAGAAAGAAAGAAAGAAAGAAAAAAGCCAGCTTGCGCTCGGTGTCACGCTGTTTTGATGATAATGTGAGGAATTGCATGACAAATATTAGTGTAAATTGAGCATAAGGCACGTTCCGTTAACAGCTACAGAGCTGGACTTGCGCTGCTGCTAAGTTTCAGAGAAATTGATGAATCTGTTTGCCAAGTAGCTCTGCACATTTCCATCTGTTCCATGACCTTTGGGGGGGAAAGAAATAGACAACTCATTTATGTTTTGGTTGATGTAAGCAATAGTCTGATACGATATTTTGTATTTCTTAACGTTTAATATTCCCTTGTCATGCTCAGTTTGAAAGCTGTGTTTTTCTAAAGTCTGGGCTGCTGGTCTCATGTACTAGTAAAATGTCGTTCTTGTTCATTTGTTAGTTACGTGCTCCGTGGCTTTCACAGAAGAGCAGCACCCTGTTTTGTGTAGCTGTTTCGTAATGACCTGCTACAAAGCACAATGCTATGCAGTGAAAAATTAAAAAAAACTTTAGTGAGTTGCTACTTAGTGTGAAATGCAGAACTAATTAAGAAGCGGAACCAGCCAGCTCATTTCAGCCTGCGATCCTGCGCCTGGTTACTCCAGAGTATGTTTCCCCTTGAAAAAAGGGAGACTGCCTCCTGAGTAAACATGCCACGGATTAGGCTGCATATCTTTAATGTGATTTTAGTAAACTCAAGAAGAGGGTTCTTAGGAGGTTGGACAACTTGTGTCTACTGAGGCGCCTCTGAGCAGAATCAAAACGTCCTGTTAGATTCTGGGGTGTTAATTCCCATGTGGAGAGTTGAAGCTTCTAGCCCTCATGCGTGGCTGGCAGGAAGCCTTGAAAACATAAATTGCAGAAATGCAGAGTTGTGTTTGGGGAAGCTCAAACTTCCCATTTCTAAAGCTCTAAGTCCCTTCCCCAGAAATTGCTTTGTGGGTACCTTTTTTTTTTCTCCCACATTGGAATGGTACCAAATAAAGGCTGTTGTGGAATACATTTCACACCTGCTAATTAGCAGTCCTACGTTCCTGGAAACGCCTCGGCTTTTGCTCTTTGGGAACATCCCTCTTTCCCCACACGGCTTTGATGGTCGAACAAGTTGTCCATCCTTCGGGCTAGTAAGAATTCCAGCCTTACAATGTTAGCTGCATCAAAGATATTCAAGCTCGTGTTATTACTGTTAACAATTTGAGTCTGGGGGGGGGGAAGCACATTGTAAAAGTTTTTTTTTAAAAAAGCCGACTTAGATTAGAAAAGAGTATCAGTAAAACCCTTAAAACAGCACAGATGTAGGTGTATGCATTGATCTTTTAGGCTGTGTGTTTTCCATAAGCTTCTTGCTTTCCCTGTCACAGGTGGTGGCAGCAATATTGGTGTGATTGAGGGTAAGCTGGGCACTACTCACAAGCGCACAATGGTGTTAGCTGGGCAGAAAGATTGGCACTCTGGCTTCCAGCTGGAGGCGAACTTTACCATAGGACGAAGTAACCTTGCATTTGGCTGCAAGGTGTACTGTACGTACGCAGGTGCTGGTTGATGTCGACTTTCTGCTTTTTTTTTTTTCTTTCTTTCCTTGTTTTATTTTCTCGTTGGCGAGATTCCCTGGCTCCATTAAACGCAAGCAAAAAGTGCCGTTTTCCATTCGTATGGAAAGCCGGAGCCACCCCATCGGCAGAGCCAGGCCTCACCGACTTTCACAAAGCCTAAATTGCTGTAAAGTCGGGGAGATGCTAATGATTCGTTTCTGTAGTGAGACTTCAGTATCACAGAAGTCCTCTTGCAGTTTAATTCACCTCTGCCTGTTCCTCAGGTTCAGGCTGGCCTGAAACTCGTATCTTTTAAAAGTATTCTGTGCTGTATAAACACATAGAAAAATAATGCAGTGGAAACCGAGTTTGGTCTCCGTGACCCTTTCCTAGCCTTGTTATTTTAGCACATTATGCTAAAATGTGTCATGGACACGTGGTACTCAGATTCTCTTTACTGATGCTTTACTGACTGCACTTCTGTTAAATGTACCAATAAATGGTGCATGGCCATGCCTGTAGATGTAAACAGCTGATTGACTGAGAGCGTTGACTTTTTAAAGCCATCAAATAGTAATGATGTTTAGTTTTTGTTTTTTTAAATAAGCTTAAACTTTTTAAACATTTAGTAATTTGGTTTAATTTCTGCTTTTTGCCGAAGTCATGTCGTTTGGCTATGACAATTCCCTTTCTGTTTGCAGTATCTGTTTCTCTTTCTAGGCTGACGTTGGCGATCCAAGCCTATTGTAAACACGTGGTCTTAAACTCAAAGGGGATTCCACGGGAGTAACAATATGTTAACCTTATGTTTTTTTTCTGTCTGTATATTTCTTAAATTTTGGTAGTTAATTGGTTAAGGGGGGGTGTTAGTCCTTAACCTCATTACTGTATATTTTAGAATTAAAGTAGTTAAGCAATATGTGGGTTTCAGTAAATATGTATATATAAATATATATATATACACATGCACACAGTTAAACTATTACTTTACATTTATTTTTTGGCTTATGCTTTAAATAACACTTAAGTTAGCATTTGCATGTATGCTTTCCTTTAATTTAAATCATTCTAAGTATGACACTGAGCATATTCTTAACTGTAGTCATTTTTAATGCTTGGCTTCAATTACCATCTCAGTAAAAACTAGCAGAAGCGATTGGGGAGCGGGGTGGGGGGCTTGTTTGAGTGCCTCCTGCGTGCCCGGGTGGAACTAGAGCGTGTCACTGGTTTGATTGCAGGTGTTGCTTTGGGATATGGATCAATACACCCTCATCAGGAAGCTGGAAGGACACCACCATGACGTGGTAGCCTGCGATTTTTCCCCTGATGGAGCTCTGCTGGCCACAGCATCTTACGACACCCGAGTCTGTGTCTGGGACCCGCACACGGGAGCTGTTCTGCTGGAGTTTGGGTAAGCAAAGCACCTCCTTCCTCTCCCGTGTCCACCCTGCAAGCTGTCCCCGAAATATTCAGTAGGTTTTGCCTGCCCCAAAGTCCCTTGGAGAGGTGTTTGATGGGGGGTGGTATCTGTAGAGGGAAAAGGTGGAGCAGGTGCTACAGCTGGGGGGGGAGGGAAGATCCTTTGTCATGATACTATTTCCATCCCGCCCCTTCTTCCTCCTCATCTTCGCATTAACCCTGCAAGGTAGGCTAGGCTGAGTGCCAGAGACTGGCCCAAAGGTACCGGTTCTCTTCGTGGCTAAAGTGGGGGGTACAGCCCGGATCTCCCCCATCCCAGTCCAACCTTCTAACACTGTTTCTCCTGTACTGTTTGGGTCCTACCTTGATAGACTCGCCTGCGAATTGTAGGTTAAAAGGTGTCTGCCTTGCAGCAGAATGAAAGCTGTTTAGAAAACGTTTCCTGGTGGCTCGTGCTGGCAGGAATCAGCCACGCTGCTTGCTTTGCCCCTTAGCCTCAGTCTCGGGGACCCCCGCTGAACGCGTTGGCATTAATGATTAGGAGAAAAGCAAAGGTTGCCTGAACCGAAGCTTCGTTTTGTCCACAGACACCTCTTTCCCCCTCCTACTCTAATATTTGCTGGAGGAGCAAATGACCGGTGGGTGAGATCTGTATCCTTCAGTCATGACGGACTGCACATTGCGACACTCGCGGATGATAAGTAAGTATGGCAGAACCTGGCTGGACTCTTCTGGTTCAGGCTGGTGAGGAAGAAGATCGTTCTTGCTGGAAGGGTTCCCTAGCCATTTAGTGGGGTGGGAAATTAGTGGGGTTTTGTGGACTGCTGCAGGAGGGGTAGGTGGATGTGAAAAGAGGACCTGTTCTACGGACTCGTACAAAGATTTTTGTGCAGACGATGATAACAAAATGGAAATTCAGGAAATTCAGAAAAGCCAGTTCAAGGCAATAAAATCAAACATGTACTGCAATGGGGGGATTTCCTTGTCATAATTCAGCGTTCCATGCAGACCCTGGTGAGTTGCTTTGCACTAATGGCTAAATTGGGGATTTGAAACTGCCCTCCATTATTCTTGGTTGATAAACTTACTGGGAGACCTGCTAGTAAGCACTTAAATGGGTGAATTTAATTTTAATGTTCTTATTTTCAAACATGTTTTTATTTTTAAGCTGCTGCCAATATGATCTGATTTTTTTAAAATGCTAGATATTGATATACTTTTTAATTATGTTCTATTTTTGGAGTTTTTATATGTATAATCTATTAAATTTATTTTGTCCATTTTGGCTCTATTTAATTTTGGAAGCATCTTTATGGATTTTATTTTATTTCTTTATTTAAAACTTTTGTATGCTGTCCCTTATGCATAGCATCTCAGGACGGCTTACAGTCCTTAAAACCAAAATACAATAAAACCATTACATCTATAAATAAATAACATAATAATAGAAATTTAAATGAAAATCAAAATCAAAGCGACTGTTAAAACATTAAAATACTAATTTTCCTGTTGTTGGCGTTCTGTCCTTGTGAGTTGTGATGTCTGTATTGTATTGTTTACACTGTTTCTGGATTTTAACATGATGCAAGCTGCCCAGAGAACCAATGGCTAGCAGGGCAGAGTGAGTGAGTGAGAGAGAGAGAGAGAGAGAGAGAGAGAGAGAAATTAAATAATTAACTGATCACTTGTTATTACTCTTCTGTGTTACGCTTTCCAGCTGTTGCTTGAAGTAAGGGATATTTTAAAAGTCTTAGCAAGGTGGATGAAAGAGAACAGCTCTTGCCGCTTAGTATTTAAGCATTGAAGGTCTGTGCTTGTTTTGTTTCTCCAGGATGGTGCGGTTCTGGCGAATTGATGATGAGTATCCAGTGCAAGTGGCGCCTTTAAGCAACGGGCTTTGCTGTACCTTTTCCACTGACGGAAGTATTTTAGCTGCTGGGTAAGGGGACTTGACACTTATGTGCATACATTGACCTCACTCAGCATATATAGATTTTTTCTAGCATCCAGTATAGATAAAAGCTCTCGACAGACCTTCCTGTGGTTAGAACTGGAGGCAGAACCAATATAACTCAGTTCTGCCTTTTCCCACAGCCTGCCTTGCACCCCATCCTTTTAATCCAGTTACAGCTGCATGAAACCTCTTAGAGGGTGAAGTATAACCCCCCCCCCAAAAGGTATGCTTATTTGAGGCATGTACTGAGTTGTAGGACCTCTTGAAATAGACACACATACAGTTGCCCCTTTCCATGAGTACCTCAAAGTTGTTGTTACCCTCAAGACGTGAGAATTTCAACATCCTGCTTCGCTTTGGATCCCTTCCCACACCCCACTTTGTTCTAATGTCGAGCCTAATGAGGGCTTCTGGAGAGCTGAAAACTTGGCGTAACAATCTATGGTGGAATTTTGGGTGGTCCTAATAAAGGTAAGTCCTAAGCTGCAGTGTGGTCCTGTGACTGTTTTCTCCATTGAATGGTCCTGAACAGCTGCTTGGAAGGAACTAGGCAGGAGTGGCCTGATCATTATGGCCTACGACTCTCATGAGCCCTCACCACAGGCCGTGCTGGCTTGTGCTCATGGAGTTGTGTGCCATACTATCTGTAATCCTTCTGTCAAGAAAAGAAAGTCCTTGATGGCAATAAATAGAATTTCCCTTCCTCTAATTCAGCCTTCCCCAGCCTAGTGGCCGTCAGAGGCCTTGGGACCACAACTCCCAGAATCCCCATCCAAGAAGGGGCTGGGAATGCTGGGTTTTGCAGTCCAAAAGTGTCTGGAAGGCACGAAGTTGGCGAAGGCTGCTGTGACTGTTGAAGGAAGGGGAACTTGGTGGAGCCAAGCCATTGTCTGCAGCATGGGACAAAATGCTCACGACTCTCCAAATTTAGTTGGACTTCAGCTCCCAGCAGCCCAGCCTGCCTAATCATAGCCAGGGATGATGGGAGTTGGTAGTCAGCTCTGCGGTGGTGCCCCGACTATGGAATGCGCTCCCCAGAGAGGTCTGCCTGGCGCCGTCATTATATGTTTTTCGGCACCAGGTCAAGACCTTTTTATTTCATCAATATTTTAATATGTATTAATAGGAATTGGATTTTATTGTTTGTATTTTACTGATTACAGCCAGCATGGAATGGTCAATTCATTTATTTTATTCTGATTTATGTTGTAAGCCATCCAGAGACACAAGCAATGGATGGCATACTGAATAAACAAACAAATAATCACGCACTGGCCACTTGATGCAGTTGCGGGGGAGACGCAGGCAACACTGGAGCGATACTGACCGACTTGGCGCTGTTGTTTGTTGCTTTTGTGTGCAGAACGCAAGATGGCAGCGTGTACTTCTGGGCCGCACCCAAACACGTGTCCAGCTTGCAGCATCTGTGCCGCATGGCGCTCCGGCGAGTGATGAACACCAGCGAAGTGCAGAATTTGCCTATCCCGTCGGCCATTGTGGCGTTTCTCTCCTACCGAATGTAGAAAACCAGTCGGAGGAGGGGAAGGGTTGGCCCGGCCCACTGGGTAAAAGAACATCAGGGTTTCTACTGGTTTCATGCTTAAAACACGTCATGGGTTTGGAAATAAATTTGACCACCTTCTTTGTGGAAAAAAATGGGGATTCTTCAGGCTGACCTTGTGGAGCTCTCAAAAGCACGATGCATTTAAAAAAAACAGGCGTGTTTCTGAAGTCATCAGACCTTTTCAAAGAAATTCCAACTGTGAAAACATGTACATAGTTAGATATAAGCTGCAACTTTTTGTGATTGCTTTTTTGATATATATATAGTGTATGTATGTATATTTTGAGTGTGTATTGATGTTTGTGTGCATACAATACAAAACTCTCTAAGCTTGGTAGTGTTTACCTGTTTCTGTGCCCCAAACAAACAGCGTCAGGGTGTCTTTCTGAACCTTTCTTTGCTATGTAAAGCAGAACCAGCAGGACTTTCTGTTGGGGGCACAGAGATAGGTAGCCACTCGGCCAATCATAGGCAGATTTGCTCTGGAGCCTTGTGGTCCTCACCAAATGGGCCCTGAATCATGTACATCTCACAGATCGGAAGAAGTGAGTTTTCTTGAGGCCCGTAAGCATTCAGGGGAGACTGTTTGGGGTGAAGCTTGGAAAATCCATTTAAGAGGTGGATCATCTTCCGGGAGGCCTTATTCTTCCAACAAAACAGATCACTGTTTTGGGTTACTTGGGATCCTTAATACGTGAGCCGGTTGCTGGCTCATTTTTTTCACTACTCTGTCACCCTCCATCATATCAAGCGTTGGAATCGGGTGAACTACCAAAGACAAGTACAATTTTTTTCTTCGCTTTTGCCTTCTGTTTCTCTGGACCTGCCAATACGGAGAATGTATGCCTCACAAGAAATGCCTGATTATATATATTTTGTTTGATGAACTTTTTATAATAAAGGATTCCTACAAACAACTTTATATCTTGTGCAAATTGGGAAGCTGATGGTTGGTGAGTTCGCCAGGTTTGATTTAGAAAGCTAGTGTGACTTGGGGAAGAATGGAAAAGATGTTTATAGCTCATTTTTCTATTGAAAAGACCCCAGTAAACAACTGTTTGCAAACCAATAAAGGCAATTCTCACATTAAGCAAAACAAACTTCTTCAACAGTCACTTGAGGGGATAACCTTCTTGCTGGCTTTTATCTCCAAACCTGGTCATCGTGGTCCACCTTGTAACCAGGTAAAATGTGTTCGTTCTTCTAGGGGAAGGCAATGTGTGACTCAGGGTTAGGGTCTCCTGAGTTTATATTGCGCACGAGAGCTCAAGGCTTTCTTACTCTTCCTTTCCTCTCAGTACCACCCAATAGCTGTGTGTTCTGGGCCATCGACGGCACACAAGGATCAGCCGTTCTGTTGTGCTGCTTAAGGGGAGTATGACTGGAGAAGTACCTTTGTGTTTGGGGGGCCTTGGAAGAGCACGCAACGTGGATAAGCGTGGTCTGTTTCGCAGTCATTCATCGTGTATTTTGGCGTGGCAAGGGGTTGACATTGTGGCCAGTAATGGAAGTCAGTGAATGAGTAACAAGCTTGAATGGAGCAGATGCGGCAGCTTTTAAGTTTCACTTCCCCTGTGACTCAGCTGTTTGGAAATCACAACAAGTTTTAAAATAATGCTCTTTTTTCAAAAAGGAAGAAGCAAGGATGTAGGTATAGAGGTCACCAGAGCAGTCACATGTGTGTGACCAATTCTTTCAGGATTACAGCAAAGCACAGTCAGAATTTAAAGCAAAGCCGTCCACATTGTACTTACATGAAAAGAGAAACGGGCGGCATGCCTTGCTCCTCTCGCGCGTGATCTCTGCCTTTTGCTAGGCCATAAAATTTTTCTGTGCCATTGCTGCGATGTGCGTTGGTGTTGGGCTCAGGTTTTCCAATATTGCACCTGAGCGAAGTGCAATCTGAAATACCCATCCTAAGTATTTCTTTTAACATACAAGGAATGCTGTAAAGCGTGGAACGGTGGTTGGAAATGTTGGTTGCACATTAGTTGAAGTCCCGGAGCACCGTTCCCCAGCCTGGTGCCCTGAGACACTCTGGACCACATTGCTCGGGGCTAAGGGGGTTGAAGTGCAAAGCGCCGGAGGGCCAGCCTTCCATGGAGGAGTTTTATCCCCTTCATATCGTCTTTCCTGCCATAGTTCAGCAGGACCAGTTTTAGTCCTTCTGCTCCTTCAAGGACCACAGTTTGGATTCCACCCAGGGCAGAACGGGACAGCAGCCAAGCTTATGTGTTTACTTTAGATAAGCAATTGGGGAGGACAAGACCTTGTTATCCCACTGGAATTTGAGGGCAGATAGCGGGGACTGTTTGGAAAGCTAATGCAAAAGGCTGCACTCTGCTCAAGCACAAGCAGCTGAGGCGGTCTTGAGCCAGAGACCAGCCTGACCCAAGGCATCTATCTGGCCATCTGAGGCAGAAGAGAAGGTGCCAGCTGTTTTCCCATGCACAAAACCTGAGGGGACAGTTGAAGAAAGCTTTCTTCAACTCTTGCGAAGGGGCAGCATCCTCAATCACTCCAGAAATGACCGGGCTAGTTCAGGGGATGAGGGCCAGACGGTAGGGACTTACCTGCCAACCTCCAGGAATGGTTTCTTCACTTGGGGCCAGCCTTGAACGGAGGGTTTCTGTGTTTGCACACCAGGTTGGCTGGGAGAATCTTTATCTTGGCAAATTGCATCATTCAGCACTTTGCAGTCCGAAGATCTTGGGGTTTCTCTGTCTCACATCAGTGACTTTGGAGGCATAGAGCAGCACTGAAAAATTACATATGTAATGGAGCTTTAAAAAAATGGAAGCATAGGAATCGTATCCCAGAATGAGGCAGCACCATCAATACAGTGAGGTCTCCTGAAACACTAGAGAGACTTCAAATTGCCCACCTAAATGTATTAGGTGTTCTATCACATTTTTGTTGTCTCTTATAAGGAATCCAAGGCAACTTGCAAAGTTCTCTCCATCCTCACAACAACCCTGTAAGGTAGGTTAGGCTGAAAGTCAGCCGAGCCCGAAGCCACCCAGTGATTCCAATTTGCCCAAGGACCTCCTAAAGCTGGGAGCTTCCCCTAGCAGGAATAGCAAGAGGCGCGCACAGCCTGGGACAGCTCTTCCTAGCACTGGCAAAGCCCCCTTTTGTATGGAGAAACCCACGACATCACCCGCCTCGCCATACCAAGCATTGTGCCCAGCAGGGAGATATATCAGCAAGTTTTCCACCTCTACTTTAAACCTGACGGCCTTACCTTGGGAAATAAAATCTTGCCTCAGTACCGATCTGTGAAATGGGTACATCTCATGCAATGCCCAGATTGGCAGTATCTGAGAAGAAATCCCTTGTATCTCATTTGGAGGAGACAACACCAGATCAAAATAAGCCAGCAAAAATAAAACCTGGAGTGTTGTGCCGAGTGCTAAATTTCACTATTTCGTATGCCCTGGGTAGGACTGCAGAAGTGAGCGCCAGGAACAAGAACAAACTCTCTGCACCACCTCTCCTTTCTTCGGGGGGCTTGCTGTCCCTAAATCCATCCCCAGAAAATACTAAATCAAAACTGCAACAGTCTTAAGAGGCTTGAGGTGTGGGTTCTGCCTATACTGGGTAGGCACAGCTTTAAAACCCAAAATTCAAATCCTTCCTGGGGCGGCTTCATGCACAAATATGTTTTTCCCAAGAAAGACTGAACTCCACCAACTTTGCCACACAGGCAGGCCCCTCTTAAGTATGAATGCTCTTCCCATGTACGACTGGACACCCTCTTTTCTCTCGTTTTGCTCCCCCGTTTCTCCTTGCAATCCTGTTCTCTCTGCCACCCACTTCTCTGCTTTTGATCTATGGCTGGCCAGAAGTGAGACCCAGAGAAAAGAGAGGATTGTGAGAAATATTCTTGCTACATTGAATTCATGCCCTAAACACATCAGCACTGCAAAGAACAAGTTGAGAAATATCTACAAGGCCATGCAAGGAGAAATAGAATGCCGTGCAAACATGGATGATTGTAGAGTGACAGAACGATAGCAATGCAATTGCTCATCAGAGTTTGGTAAGCCTTCACACTGCTAGCAGGCAAAACTGCGGAGAAGTAGAGCCCAGCTCAAATAATTCTGTCTCCTTGGCCAGAGTCTTAGTTCAGCCTTGAAGGGACATGAGACAAAACCAGAATGAGAGAAAGCATGTAGGTGGATTACGGTCCCCCAAGGACATCCATGCCAACTCTTTAATTTGTCAAAGCTTAGGGACTAGAAACATGCCATGGGCAGTGACTGGGGTTTCAATGAAAGCTAAAATTCTGAAGATGGAGAATGGTTGCACTTAGATCTCAGGGGAAGGAAAGGCACAGCTTGAATGGAATGGCAATGTTTGAATTAATCTAGAATATTAGATTAGGGGAAAACATACTGCTTGCACTTCGGGGTTATCCCTATTGAACTAGCAAGGACTAACTGAAGAATTGGGGCATGGTAGTAGCTTCTCTGTGTTTAGATTTTCTAGCTCTTTGTATGTGTGTCGTTGCTTAGACCGCCTCAGATCTTCGTTGCAACCTAAATCATATTTTTCTGATTCCTCCTCTTCCTCTTCACCCTGGATTATTTCTCGAGCCATCAGCACCCCCTGGTGGTTGCACCGCAACACTGGCAGCAAATAGGCACACCCTCATTTTTATTATGGTGGGGAATAAACTGTAGGGTGGGGAGAGAGGAGGAGGAGGAAAATAGCAGATCTGCAAGCAAATACGCTTCTGGTATCCTTTGCCACAGGGAAGTCTCGCCATATCCGAAGCAGAGGGACACTGCTGCGTTTGGCACAGCGTGGAAATGTAACAATTCACAACTATAAGTGGAGGATGGATTAGGTTTGTGGTCAGCTCTGGGGGGCCCTTGGCTCTTCAGTACCCACTCGCCCTCTTCCAAGAAAAGACCAGATGGAGAGCTTTTGCACCATTCTTATAGGGGATCTCAAAGCATCTTTTCGTAGTCCCTGATCACTGTGGGACCTGACCTGGGGGTTACACGGACGATGCTTGCTACAGCAGCCTGAAATATGCCTGTGCCTTGGACCTCAGGTGGTGCCCTTGAGGACTAGAAAGGCTACTAGACCTCCTGAGCTCGGCTTGGGCAGCACATCTTTGTGCTGGAAGCCAGCCAATCCTCCTTCCGCTCTGCTGCTTTTCTGGCTCTCAACCTGCTTTGCTTCCAGGGTACTTGTCCACTCTGCTTTCTGACTCACCAGGGACTAGCACCTTGCCTCTCCCATCTTGTGATGCAACATGTCAGCTGAAGGCTTTGCAAGTGAAACTAGGACACACCACATGGAGAGTGTTACAAGCCCAAATTAATTAATCTGTGATCCAGTGACCCATGGAGCTAAGGGAAGCAAGCCCCCTCTTTGCATACTGAATTTCCAGGGTTCAGTTTGTGGATCATGGGAACCAGCATTTCTCTGTTCAAGGGGTGATTCTGTATGCACGCAAGTTCTTTTTATCCACAGTACCAGTAAGGAAGATCTGTCTCCCAGCTTCTCTGTAAATTTCCTTGTATTCTTATTATGCAATGTATCCTAACTATCTCTCTGGGAGTTGCTTGTGTTTTTGTTTTTTGGTGCATGACTATCATAAATTATGTATTTTCTACCATGCCTTTTCCTAGCAAGTTTCATTCATGAAAAAACGAAAGTCAAGTTTGCTGCTTGAAAATTTGCTGGCTTTCTTGTGTTTTATTGATTCCAGCTAGAGGATTAATTCTGCATTTCTCCTTCACCTCTGTGAATTTTGCTTGTCATTTCAGTTCCTGCAGCTTGAGAATCTTCCATGTGTGATTCCATCCATTCTTTTTCTCCTAATACCAGGAAAGATCTTCAAAATAGCAAAGGCAGCTGTAATGTACATTGTTGTTGTTAGTCGTGAAGTCGTGTCCGACCC